TAGTTCACTTCCTTCAACAATAGTCACACAAGTTACACCAAATCTATAGTCCCTAGCCATTTATCATCCGATGAAAATATTTCCTTAATCTATTCCAACTGAACCATGGTCAATGTAAATTTATGTTTGTTATAATCAACTACTTCACAAAGCAGACTAATGAGACATTTGCCAAGGTTACTTCCATTGTTGGGTTTAATTTAATCTAAAAGGACATTTCATCATAACTTCACATTCATGATCATCAGAATGCCACTCGTGAAAATCATTGATAATAATAAAAAAAATTTATCAAGAATGTCAATGAATTATGCCAACAACAAGCGATTGACATGACATTTGTCACATTTGATGATCATGTGGTTGAATGCTCATGCAGCTAATGGGTGGAAGATCTATAATCCTGTGGGTAGGAGCAATATCATCGATGGAAATTGGTCTAAAAACAATTTCTTTTCACAATGATACGAGGCAACTTTAAATGCTCACAATACTCAAGTTCTTGCCGCTTCAACAGTTCAACATTTACAAAGGTGTCAGAGTAGCGAGCATAGAGAGAATAAGGCTAGCAAGTAAATATTGATATGTTAAGGAGTAAGGACGGTCTCAACCCTTTATCTAGCAAAGATGAATCAAATAACGGCAAAACACTACAAATAATAAGCCAAAAAGAGTACTTCCACATAGGTGAATATGTCTTTAAAATGACAGAGCAATCATTAAAGAACAACCAAGCTCGCGATCTCACTAACTACAAAGATGTGCAAATAAAAGATGTAAGGAATGTAGAGCGAGACATAATTGAAAAAATCTTACCACTAAAAGGAAACTTAACTCAGAAATGTACTTCATTATTCTAATTAATAAAAAAGTAGAATCTTAAGCAAAGATTCTTATCTGCATTGTTGAAAATTCTTTTACTTGAACAAAGTAGAAAAATAAAATCTATATGTTAGCATATAATGAATATGGAGAAAAAGATTCTAGGAGCTCTCCTACATATGTAATGGTTAACTATAGTCAATGTAGTGGTCTAGGACCGTTACTGAGGCATACTCCTCGAGATGAGATTCAGATTCTCTAGAAAGTATGAAGTTCCCATTATAGAAGAGCCAATATAATAATCACCTAAAACATAGTCCCTCCAAATAGTGCAATTTTGAATGTATTTATGTGAAAATGTCTTCCAAGAGGAGAGACGCATTGTCTTTATTAAGATATGAAACCGTTGGTTAGCAATGTCCTAGAAACTAAAGAGTTTTGAACTCTACATTGATGGGATCAAAATACGGATTATTAGTTGATATTGCTATTAACCAACTACTCGTGAAGCAATACTAACAAGAAACACGAACCAAAAAATCTAAATGAAATAGGCTCTTCAAAAGTAATGGTTGAGTCCTTTTATTCCTAATGAAGAGTTAAAAAGTTAAAGATTTAAAGTTGAACTTCACTTTGCAACAAGATATGCACTAAAAGATAAGTCCTCCTTTAAGGCAAGTTTTAGAATTGGAACCCATGTAAAGACAAGATTTAAATATAGGTGAGATCTTTTCTAAGACAACAACTAACTCATGAATGTTAACCAAGAAGAAATAAGACAAGGATTAAGTAAAAACTGAAGTAATTTCAATTTGAAATAGTTTAATAAACGAGGTTAAATTAGAAGTTAATGAATTAAAATGCTAAATCACTAATATGCAAACAAGTTAATTTACAAAAAAAAAAATTATGAATGTGAAAAAATTAACATTTTCCTTTGCAAGTGGACAAGATGCGATGCAAGATAAAATTTGATGCCCAGCTCAAATTGATTTGTAATGGCACCTTCATAAATACCAGATGTCGCATTTTACTTGATCATCTTAGTCTCAAAAGGAATGTTGATAAGTTATCCCTATGGGATTGAGATGTCTTTCCTCAAATCCTAATCAAACTTAGAAATCGCCAAGTTTACTTTAAGGATTGTTTATTCTCTACAATATATGATTCTAAATAATACATTTGGTCATGAAGCGGCAACAATTAGTTCCAATCTGCTCATTGGAATACTTCAATTTTGGAAAATTTAAAACATACCACACAATCTTTATGGGTTTACATAATTAACACCTAAAATTTGATACTTATATTTATAACACCATATTGTCATAAACCTACACATGAAAAGATGTTTCACACTTTTAAAAGTAATTAATAGTGGTATTTTTTGCTTGATATTAAAGATTTGAGTTTTATGCATGTAAATATGAAAGTTTAGGTGTCAGATATGCAAATACATAAGAATTGTGCATCTATGTAAATGCCCCTTCAATTTTTGTAATTATTCATTAATTTTGCCAAATTAGATAGGGCTTGAGCACAAAATCCTCAACTTCTCAATAAGCTCCTCTCAAAGTTTGGGATGCTCTACAAGTTGCCTACCTAAGCTTTAAGCTTTTGCTTTGTAGCTTTCTCCAAAGGAACCAATAGCTCAGACTACTTAATGCCAAGTCAACATTAACTTTTTTTTCTTCTTGAAATCAAAAGTTGACTAAGCCCTATTAAAAACTATAAATTTTTTATTGCCTTCTTTTCCATGGTAAGGAGATGAAGTAGTTTGAGGCAGAGTAAGAGAATCTTATGTTGATCAGCATTAAAGTAGATCTGTAGATGCAAATCAAAGGTCATCGAGTAAAACACATCGTCAAACAATCTTGGCCAAGGACATGACAATGGAAATTAATACAAGGAAAGATGAAAAAAATTTAAACATACAGACAGGCACTCATGTACGCAAACATCATTAAAAATAATGATAATATAAAAACAAAATAAACAAAAAAAAAGATAATAATAATGATTTTATAAAGTAGATAAACAAATGCCTAATAGATATTTATCCATAAGTGATTATTAGGTTACATGTATATAAATATAAGCTACATGGAGCTTAATATGCTTACTTAAAATGTATTAAAAAATGCAAGTAAATAAATAAATTAATAATAACAACATTTAAAATAAAAATATGTATAATAAACAACTAAGGGTGTAAATAAGCCGAGTTTAAGCGAGCACTGTTAGTTTGTATTTGTCTTGTTCAAAAATTTGTTTATTCTACATCGGCATATGTTCAAAATAGTTCAGAAATAGCATGTTAGTGTTTGATTCATTTTGAACTTTTTTATGAATTTTTTTATTCTCATGTTCTGCATGCTTGAGCTCATATTTAGCTTGCACTACTTTATAATTACTAAATTTTAATTTTTAAAATAAAATATTAAAAAACTAAATATATGATAAATCAAAAATCTTATCAAAATTTTATGATTTGCACTATTAGTAAAAATATAAAAAACAAATAAATATTAGTTATGTAATTATTTTCAGTCAAAATAAGCTAAGGATAATTGCACAAATTTCTGTTTTTGTTTAGTTAATTTATAAATCAAAAACAAATATTTATTTAAGCTTAGCTTCTTAATAAGTGAATCGAATACAACCATGTTAACAATTCAAACATAAATTATTTGCAAACAACTAAGTCTTTTTGATAGTACTATGTCCAAGCCCCCTCAAATATATTTAAGAAAAAAGTTTGCCTTTTAAAAACTCTCCCCCGTTCTCTTTTCATATCCCAATTTCCTCCTCCCCAAAACGCTTTGGCAGTCTGCCACTCCCACTCTCCTTTCTTATCTCACTCTCGCTCTCACTCTTCATCCCTCCTTTCTTTCTCAAAAGCTCACTCAAGCTTACTTTTTATGCCTCGCAAAAACTAGGTAGGAAGTCAGTGACCCTTTACTCGTAGAATTTTTGCCCATCTCTTTTTTTAAAACTTTGCAAAAAAAAAA